CTTTGATTAGGGTGTGATTGGGCACCCAAAAACGTTTTTTTTCATTTTAAATAAAAATTAATTTTAAGTGAAACAACAAGTTGAAGTATACATTACCAAAATCGAGTTCTTGAGTCGGTTTCGCGTGGGGAATGATTAATTAACACCCTAAATCGGTACCTAGTCGATTAATTAACGTCTTTGCAATGAACTGTACACATTCGAACTTAATTTGACTTTTGATCCTATAAAACAAAGATGTGAATTTAATAATATTAAAATGCACCCAAATAAATTAAATTAAAATTACCGAGTAGTTTTAGAAAGATAAAGAATGTTTGATTATTTAAAAATATCGAGACCAGATCTTAGATGAGTTGAAACAATCTTTTCTCGAAACATTTAAGTAACCGAACATTTCATTTTCTTTCGTTCCCAAATTTTAAATGACGAATCAATTTTTTTAGGTTTCACTTTCGAGATACACTTTTAATTTAAAATCGTCAAAACGGCCCTCTAATGAGTTAAGACAAGCCACTCAAGACAATTTTAAATTAAAATGGTATTACCCTTAGTCCGATTATGTATTTATAAGTCGAGTTATGCACATGAGGGTATCATACAAATTGTGCAAAAAGGATGTCATGCCAAAATTAATTAAACAAGTATTACGATTAAAAATATCATACAACGTGACATACAAAAAATTATATACTTATATTTTTTAATTAAAAATTATGAACAATGCATATTAACATATAATGTAAAAATGTGACTTAAATACAAAAAACAAAAACATAACATGCCAAACTATAAATTTTAAAAAGTATATATATATACATTAAAGTAATGACTAAATTTGAATAAATATAAAATTAAACATACAAATCGAAAATTAAACCATGGAATTAAATAAAACACGCATAAAAATAAGAGATTTACTCGTAAATAACCCAACAAAATTACAACCAAAATTAAAACTGGTAAATACCAAAATCAAAACAAACAAAAATGGCCAAATTCTAAAACTAGCCCCTCAGGTGACTAATTTACAAAAAATGCTTAAGTTTGGGGGACTAGAAAATAGTATACCCTTCAGCTTCAGTGACTAAAACTTAATTTACCCAAAAAAATTAACATAAAACCTAAACTAAATAATAAATTTAACCTAACCACAATCAGAACATACCCAGCCTCACACTTCACGCTTCACTCTTCACTCTCCCTTACCCACGCTCGACGCTGCTCTCTTAAACGAATTGGACAGGAACCCAACCCAGCAAGGTAACGAGCTAACCCTTTTATTTCGGTTTTTTTATATTTTGAAATCCAACAGATAAGAGCTAACCTAAATAAATGACGTGCAAGGATTCAAGTAAATCACATAACTTTTACCCAACTCCGGCAACAGTACAAATGTCCTTAACACCGAAAATGTTTTAACAAAATAAGGTAAATAATTTTTCTTTTGCTATCTCTCTCTTATATTTGTTTCGAAAATAAGAAGAACATGGTGTGAAATAAATAAAAAAGAAAGTAAAGAATAACCTTCTTGATTGGTATTTCTCTGATTGCCGAAAAAAATAGAAAGCTTTCCTTGCTCTGTTTACAATATTTTTTGTTATGTTCTATAAAACACCAATGGGGGAGGATTTTTTAACTCTCCTCTCTTCTGGTTGCCTTGGATGATTGATGATAGTCTTTGGTTCCTCGTAATGGTGATGGTTCCTTTTTTTCGTTTCTATCTGTGATGTCCCCTTTTCTCTGTATTTGATCTCCCTCTCTTAGTTGATACTTTCCAGTGGTTAATCCCTAGTAAAAAACCAACTCTTTTCAATTTTTGATTCATCCCCTGAAAAAATAGCCTCTACGTTTTTCTGGTTTATTTGCTCTATCTTCCCATAACTGTTCGTTTTGCAGGGCTCCACGTGGACTGGAAGCTGGAATGATAATACTGTTGTTTTTGGGTTGATTTGGGCTCCCATTGATCCAAATTTGTATCTTGTACTGGATATAAAGCCTCCGGACAAAAACAAGCATATACAGCTGGCAACTAAACAGTGAAGAAATAGCCATTTCGATTTTTAGCCTGGTAAAAATAAGGCAACCGGGTGATCATGCGCTTTCCACATGCTTCTTGCATACATCATGATCGTATATGTCAAATTATGGATTTAGTCCCTTTATTCTTCTCCGATTCGATACACAGTCCTTATATTTTAGGTTTGCGTAATTTGATTCTCTTTAAAACATCAGTACAAATATAAAATGCCGTTAACTATAATGATTTCATGAAGTGGTGTTAAAAAAATCAAAATAGTTACTTTTGTAACAAATCTTAACATAAGAAAGGGCCCAAAACACAATTCAACCTGATATTAATGTGTTGAGTTAACTCGTGAACCCCTAAACTATCCATAATTAAGGGTGAATATTTAATCAAGTCAGGCTGAGTCAAGTGATAAAATTTGAGTTAATCGAGTTACAAGTATGATTTTATCATTCGAACTTTATTTAAAAAAAATTAAGACGAATTTATGAAATTCAAGTCAAGTCAAACCGAATATATTTGGTTTAGTTTCTATTTAGATTTAAATGTAGTTATTTATAATGTTATGATACCGATTGGTTTCACTTTAAATGATTCTCTCTAATCATATTCAATAAACATATATATTTTTCATATTCTATTTTATATGGGTAAGTAAGATGTATAATGTTATTTAATAAATCAAATATCATATAAAATTATATAATATATTTGTAATATTATTATTAAAAATAAAAAATTTTAAGGATAAAGTATTGATGAAAATACAAATGGTTCAAAAAATTTGATGGGAAGAAATAATTTACAAAGAGTTGTAGTTAAATGACCAAATTAAATAAAATACAAAACTGAGAAATTAAATTGGAAAAAAGGAGAAATTTATTTTCAAAAATATGAATCAAAATTACACAATTATTTTATAGTGGTTGAAGAGTTTGTGATTCAAAATTTATGAAAATATACTTAAAATAAAGAAAAATTAAAAAAAAAAAACTTAAGAACTAAATCACAAAATAATCAAATTACTTTGTTAAATACCCAAATAATGTCATTTTAGTTTCTTTTAGAAGAATCGAATTTCATAGGCTCTCATCCGTCGTATCTATTCTTAAATGAATGAAGATTTCTCTTAAATACATTCGAACTCACAATAGGGGTGAGCAAACTAGATTTAACTTTAAAAAAAAAAATTTTTGAATTTTAAATTATTCAAACTAAATTATTAAAAATATTCAACTCCATTTTTGGAATATACTAAAAGTATATGAACTTTGTTACATGCAATGATACAAGTTTGTTTCAGGGACTGTATTTCATATACGTGATAATATCTCTGAATAATACTTTCTACAAGGAACACCTTTAGCGTATATCTCCGATCTACAAGGAATTTGTTGTTCACTAACTTCAAAACTTTCAATTAGGGTCGTAAATGAGTTGAGTTAAGCTTTAGTATTGTTAAGTTCGACTCGATTTAAAAACTCTAAAATAGAGCTTAACTCGGCTCAAAAACTCGTAAGCCTAAAAATTTCAAGCTCAAATCGAACTCGAAACCATAAATTGAAACTCGTAAAAGATTGAAAAAGCTCAAAATGGAAAAAAAATCTTAAATTTAACTCGATTGAAGCCTCAAACTCAAACTTAAACTTTAAATACATGAAAATCTTATAATGCATTTTAAAAAAAATCAACACAAAAATGTTAATATTATTAATAATTAATTTTAAAAAAATAAAATCTTATTATATTATATTTTTGAGTTGCTTTTGAGCTTTTTGAGTCGAGTATCAAGTAGCTCTTTTTGGCTCGTTAAGAATTTGAATCGAGCTCGGACTAAAGTCGAGTATTTATCAAGCTTTGACCGAATTGATCTCAAGTAGATCACAATCTTCTCGTCTCATTTACAATCATACTTCCAAGTAGAATTAGCCAATCATGTTATTGGACACCTTGAAGATTAACCCATCTCAAGCTCTCTTGCATTGATACATATACAAGTATGTAAAATGGTAATTTTTAAAATTATATGGCACGAGTACAGTAATATATAAATAAATTTTAAAATTCGTAATTATTGAAAAATTACGTATTAGATTTGTATTCATTTTCCTTTTGCTTACACTATCTTTGGTAAAATAAATATATCTTGAGTTTCTAACGTCCGATTGAGGCGTTTTAAGATGAGTTTAAAAGGTAACTAAAAGATTATTAATATGTAAGAAAACATAACAATCTAAAAATACCCTAATATCATTTTAAAATTCATCATAAGTAAGCTAATATTCTAGACATCAAAATCAACTCTTTTACTTTTAATTTTTTAAGTTAAATCTCACAAATAACTTTGTATATGCACGTGAAGATCAAACGTCGTTTTTGATACGTCTACAAAAATCTCTCGACGTATTCAACTAATTATAGCATCAACAGCCACATTAGTAACATTTTGATATATATAATTGTTACCTTAGTCGAGAATATAACAATGAAATAAACAAACAAATTGAAAATAAAGAGTTATAGTTACAAGATCTCACACAGATTCCAAGTTTGTAACTTATAATAATATAATCTTATCATCTATTTAATGAGAAAGAACACTAATATTATAAAAAGAATTCTTTAATAAGAAGCCTTGGATTCATTCAAAACCTAAAGAGACCGGATCAAATCCTTTTATTTTTTCAATTTGTGTTCTACACAAAACAGCTCACAACACCCCATGATCTATTCAAAGCTGAATCTAACCATCAAATTCAGTTCGAAGTTCCATCGTCACCATGGCAAACTCACCAAAGCAAACTGTTGGAATCAGAGCTAATTTCTTCTTGTTTTGTTTCTTCGTATCCAGTTTATGAGTTTATATTGTAAATCTCTCTCGACCATTCGAACAAACCACCATGGTCTTCCAACTGTGATAAACAATGTAACCAAGACTCAGTCCTTACAGTAGTCCGCTTCCATACCCCCATCAACACAACTTGCCAAAAAAAGGGGTGTTTGAGAATCCTCGTGTTCCGCCACCAACGGTGCGGGTGGTTCGACCTTCCCATGGTTGTTGCACAGCCTGGATAATGGTAAACCACAATCTCAGATTGCCTCCGTAGGAATCATTATCGAAGGTGTCGAATTGGTTCCCATGAGGAATAGGTCCAACAAGATCATTTTGCGAAAGATTCAACACCTCAGGAAATGTCAGCTTCGTCGTTTGACAAGGAATGTTGCCATTGAGCATGTTTGATGACAGATCTAATGACTCAAGTGCCACCAAATTTCCAAACGTTGCTGGGATAGGACGGTGAAGTTGTGAAAGAAGTCGAGCATCTGCAGGGAAATAAGTTGTCCGGCTTCCTCGGGAATTTGTTCGCAGAATTGGTTGTTGGACAAGTCCATATATACGAAAATGTCTATAATCCTCGTCAATTCAATCTCCAATCTCTTTGTTGTCACATTCACAGAAGTTTGGTAATACTTGGTGTTATATGTAACACTGTCAAATCTGTAGACCAATGAGGCTGAAGTATCTCTTTAATCACATCTGTCATTGCTCTCAAATTCCGGAAGAGATTCGCTGGCAATATGCCACAGGTCTCATTTCCGGAGAGATCAACTATTCGTAACGCTGAGAAATTGGTTGATTCCATGGAATCAGGCAATGATCCCTGAAATCTATTAGATCTCAAGATGAGAACCTGCAGACTTAGAAGTGAAGCTAACAAATGGAGAAACCCATCTGCTAACTTGTTCCCTAAATTTAGAACTTCCAATGATGTAGAATTAGCCAACGATGGTGGTACTACTCCTTCCAAGTGATTGTCATTAAGGATAAGATTTCTCAACGCATTATCACAAAGAAATCAGGGATCTTTCCGTACAAGTTGTTCATCCGCAAATCCATGACCTCGAGACTGTAGCTGAAATTTCCAATACATTCAGGTATAATTCCACTCAAGCTGTTTTTGGACAAGTCCCGAACTGTAAGTGAAATCCAATTGCAAATACAAAGAGGGATGTTTCCTGTCAATTTATTATCTGAAAATAAGAACATATCCAACTTAACCTGTGGATTTAGAGTCAAGCAAGTTGAGAGAGAATTGGCCCTTGATGCAAGTTTGAACGTAGGTCGACAATTGTCAATCTCTTTCCTGGAATTTGCTCCAAAGTGGCCAGAGAGTTATAAGAAAGGTTCAAAACTCGTAATTCTTTCCACCCTTCAGCTTCCCATTTCGAAATGCATACCACCGAAATCATGTTATTGGAAAGATCTAAAACCTTCAACTTCGATGTTCGAAAGAAATTCGGGAACTGCCTTATACTGCATGAAGAGAATAACACAGGTCCAAGCTGAGGGAAAGAATAGTACATCCCATTGTCACTTGTGCTTAATGACAGGAAAGTATTGTTCAAAAGATTAAGAACTTCAAGACTAGTGAGTTTCGAAAGCATATCTGACTTGATGACGCCACTCAAATTGTTTGATGACAAATGAAGTTCACCAGATCAAAAACAGAATCTGGTATAGGACCATCAAAGTTGTTAGAACTCAAATCAACAATTTGGACAGAAGTAGGCATCTGAACTCGGTTCACCGGACTTGATAGTTTGTTATAACTAATGTCCGAAACTAGCAGAGATGGTAGAAAACAACCACATTGGCAAGGACCCTTCCAAGTGATTATGCGACAAATTCAGATGGGTAATTGTCACGTTCACAGTCGAAAAGAGAAAAGTTTGACGCGTAAGAAAGAGAGAAGAACTGAGATTTCAGAAAAAGAAAACTTCATTCACATAATTCATGTTTTTCTACATTGGGTACTCTTTTATTTGTTTACACAATACAAAAATCTAATAAAATAGCCAGCTAGCTGTCCTTGGTTAACTAACTTAATTTTTCTTTTGCAGGTGACTTGGGCTCTTCTTCCTGGATATGTGCATTCTCTACCTATTGTTTTGAAGCTGATGATTTAGCTACCCTCCACGTGACTGCCAGGTATAATTTCCCAATTCCTTCGATTCAATCCCTAACCCTTGTTTTAGAATCCCCAATTTCCTCTCGTCTAATTTCCCTTCTTCTTCTATCATAACAATACCCTCCCCTTGAAATGATCCTTGTCCCCAAGGATCAAAGTGAGGAAATTGTGTTTTGAGGACAGTGAAATCCTCCTAAGTGTCATTCGACGCATCAAGATTCCTCCATTTGACTAAAAGCTAAGTAATTGGTTTGTTTTGTCGATTTACGATTCGTTTTCCCAAAATCTTCTGAAGCTCGATTTTGATCTGTCCTTCATCGTCCAATGTAGGGGTCATTAGAAGGAATCATCGATTCACCAATCTTCTTCTTCAACAAACTCACATGAAAAATTGGGTGCAATCGTGATATGGCTGGCAAGTCCAAACGGTAAGCTACTTCCCTAATTTTCTCCAAAATCTTATATAGTCTATAGAATTTTGCAGCTAACTTGAGATTCTTTCTCAGAGCAAGAGAAGTTTGACGATAGGGTTGTAATTTCAGGTAAACGACCTCACCTATTTCAAACTTTCTTTCAAATATGTTTTTGTCTGCCTATTATTTTATTCTGTTCTGTGCTTGCTCTAGTTGTTGTTTCAAAATGTTTTTGAATTCTTCACGATTGTTCAATAGTTCACTAACACTTTATACTTGCGATTTTGTTTCCCATACCATAGTTAGGGGTTTGTAGTCATAGAGGGACTGAAAAAGGGTTAACTTTATTAATGTATAATAAGTGGTGTTATACCACCACTTAGTCTGTGGTAACCATTTGGCCCACTGCTTAGGTTGTAGGAAGCAAAAATCTCTTAAATATTGTTCCAAAAACTAATTTACTCTCTCAGTTTGACCATCTATTTCTAGATGGTAAGTTGTACTAAATAGTGTTTGAGTTCCTAAGTTTTTCATTATCTCCTTCCAGAAACTGCTTGTGAAGATTTTATCTATATCAGAGATGTCCATTTTTAGCTGACCATGAAACTTATACACATTATTCAAATAAAACTTAACAACATCCATTTCTATATAAGAATATAATAGATCCATAAAGTGACTGTATTGGGTAAGCTTATCCACAATCACTAGGATACCATTTTTCTGTAGAGAGGTAGGGAGTCCTTTAATAAAGTCCATAGTGATGACTTCCCAAGTTTGATTAGGAATTGGTAAAGGTTGAAGAAGCTCTGGTTTAGCCACATGCTTTATCTTAATCTGTTGGCAAATATCACATTTTTGGACATAGGTAGTCACCATAGCTTTAAGATTTTGCTAGTAAAAGTAAGACTTAACTCTGTGATAGGTAGCTTGAATTCCTGAAAGTCTCCCTTGTGAATTATGGAGGGTTTGTAATATCTGTAATGTGAGAGTGTATGTCTTTCAAATATAAACTCTGACTTTATATCTCAGTATACCTTTAGTGTATTTCCACTTATCATTATCAGTACGATTCACTATCAAAATTGAAATCCAATCAGTTACCATTTTTTCCTGTTGATAAATGTCCTCCACTTCTTGCACCTAGTTAGGGATCAAAGTTGTAATCCCTATACTTGACCTTGATCTTGCCTCGAATGGGCATCGACCACCAAATTAGTGTTTCCCTCCCTATATTGAAGTGTAATACAATCCCAAAAGTTTAATTAAACCTCTCTTCTATATGGTTGTTGTCAATTTTTATTATAGGAGAAGTTTTAAAGACTCATGGTATGTTTTTATCACAAAAGGTCTTTCTTCCAAGTAGTGTCTTCACTTAGAGATTTCTATGAGAATAGCAAGATATTCTCTTTCATACACGAACATTTTAATGCCTAGGACATAAGACTTTACTAAGGAATACAATTGGTCTTCCTTCTTGTGATAGAACAACACCCACCCCTTTAGAGCTAGCATATGTCTCCAAGTAAAAACATTTAGAGAAGTCAGGTAAGGCTAATACTGGAGCAACACACATAGCCTTTTTTTAGAGTTTCAAAGGTTGCTAACCCTTCAGGAGACCATTTGAAAGAATACTTCTTTAACATTTGTGTTAAAGGTCTGCTTATGGTTCCATAATCTTTAATGAATCTCCTATAATATCTAGTAAATCCTAGAAATCCTCTAAGAGATTTAAAGCTCTTAAGTAAGGGTCAATTGTTCATAACAACCACCTTTTTAAGATTAGTAGATATTATAGAAAAAATTATATGACCAAGACATTTTATCTGCTTCTATCCAAATAAACATTTGGACATCTTAACAAAGACATGATTGCTTTTTAAATCTCCGAAACCAATTGTAAGTGATGAACATGATCCTCTATAGAAACATTATAGATCAAAATAGCATAAAAAATGGGATAAATTTTATCAAATAAGACTGAAATAATTCATTCATAAGTGCTTGAAATGTAGCAAGAGCATTTGTAAGGCCAAAAGACATTACCTTGAACTCAAAATGGCCTAAATGTGTTCTAAAGACAATCTTGTAGATGTATGCAGGTTTGATTCTGATTTGCCAATTTCCAAAGCGCAAATCAATTTTTGAAAAATATTTAGCTCCATAAAGTTCATCTAATGGGTCCTTTAACACTGGTATAGGAAATTTGTTCTTCACTGCCATGTTGTTTAATTTCCTATAGTCCACAAAAAATCTCCAAGTTTCATCCTTCTTTTTAATGAGTAAGCATGGTGAGGCAAAGGGATTTTTACTAGGCTGAATGACCGATGAAGAGAGCATAGTAGCAATCTGCCTTTCCACTTCAGCTTTCTAGTGATAAGAAAATATATAGGTGTTAGAGTAAGCCCAAAGACCAATCATATGATGATTGTAGTAATACATTTATTTATCGATTTTATTGAATAAAGGCATTGCCACTATTATTTTTAGTTATGTGTTAGTGTTTAACATAAACTGAAAGATAATAAAGTTCATATAATAACATTATTAAAAGATCTATAGTCAAGTATTATTATGGACATGGACAATAATAATACGCTTAAGACTAACGTGTTATTGATTGATGACAAGGAGTTGTCATTGACATAGAGATGTCATAATTGATACATGATTATATTGTTAGAGAACAATGTATTGGATTGACCCATCATGAGCATATGTCTTGGATTATTATGTAACGGTCATAACATTGCTTATGGTGATGACTATATGTATGATCCTCAGACTTGAGATCAATGTCATCCCAACATATATTGTTGTATGTTTTAATACAGTTAAATATGCTCCGTAACTGGTTGCACTATAAAGATTGTTATTGAATATATTTTGATATATGTAGTGGGGTGTATATGGTTAAGATAGGATTTGTCCTTCCTACATAATATGAAATATATCACAGGCCACTTGATTGAGTGAGACTATAAATGCATGGCCATGCTCGAATAAGTTGATATGTGATATCATATTCATTAATTATAGTCTACTCTAGATATCAAGAAATAATATATGGGTTATACAAGTGTGACTATTCTAAGAGTTGTGCCTATTCTAGATATAAAGGACAAAAGGATGTAATACATAAAAGAATTAATCATGAAGATGATATATCGAATCATAATTTCTTGTAACTTATGTGACAATGATATATTGCTAGATGTCACTCATTGTATGTAATATTAGAATTGTTCTAATAATTACTACTAACGTTATAAGAACCTATAGGGTCACACCCTAGGATTGAAATGAGCAAAAATGTACAATTTGTTGTATGTTACTAAAATATATCTAGAGTTATGATATGTATATTTGATATACATATGATTTTAATTATCCCGAATATAGTAAGTAAGCATTAAAAGAATGTAATTTAGATTACAACTCTTTTAATTGGTGTATATAATTCAGAATAATTAAATAAGTTTTTAAATAAACATTAAATATTACAATTCAGATTATAAGTCTTTAATGTATATTTAATTGAATTAATTAAATAATATTTTATTGTTAATTCAAAATAACTTAAAAAACCCTAAGATGTTAGGGTAATGGATATAAAAGGGATGTGTTAGGTCTAGCAGTCCTTTTTTTAACACACACATAATCTTCAGCCGTTTTTCTCAAAAAAGGTTTTGGGAAAAAGAAAAATTGCTCTCAATCGAGTGAACTGAGTAGAGGCCGAGACGTGATTTCGTGGAGGCTTATGATTCGAATCGATCCACACCACCATTAGCCGCTACTGTTCTTGTTGTTTTTCAAGGAACCTGTTGTAAGTATTCGCATCCCTTCCTCTCAATTTCGGTTTTACGTACTTGGATCACTGGTGAGACCGTCGAGTTTTGTTTCCGTTGCGCCATGGAGTGCACTGACGGTCCCAACAATAGGGTCATAGGTTGGTTGGTGTAGACCCTGATTTTAGTATGATAGAATGGTCATGATTTCTACTAGGAGGTAGTTCTTTAGGCTCTTCAAATATTCCATTGTAAATGGTTAACAATGGTTGAAT